CCGGACTAGTGCCAGAGATGCTGGTAGCAGAGTCCTATGACCATGTCCGTACATTGCTCCTGATTTAAAGGGCAACTCAAGTGACCCGCACGTCTCCTCGCCTCAGGCCCTCGACACACACCACCAGGGCAGACGAACGTATTCATCCCGGCAGCTAACCACAAACCCAAGTCCGGGTGCGCCAGAGACGCTAATGAAGGCGTATCATTGGCAGAGCGTTCATCCCGTCTTACCGGGGAGCCCGCAATCTCCCCGGCATTCTCTCGGGTCAGTAGATAGGGACAATTCCGCATGGTCAGTGCGGAGAGTCGAGGCAATCGCCGCGAGCGTCAGTATCCTTTGAGTGTCAATGTTACGTTGCGCCCAAATGATCCGGTCAGTCGCCGCCTTTAAGTTGTTATTGTAATATATATTACTGTTCTAGTAAAATACAATAATTACTAAGTTTTTGTTTTACAATTTGATACTTTTTAGATTGGTAATTGGTAGTAATAGTAAGTTCAAACGCGCAAGTTTCCTTCCCGACGACCCCTGCCCCCGTATTTCCGCTAGCGCTTTCTTTTATTACCTACATTTCTTGCTGTTTAGAGCGGTCTATAAAATAAGTATTTTTATTGGTGTACGAAGTAAAATCAAAATCAAATAATAATTTATTCCATAGGTAAAATTTTGCTGACCTCCCTGAGAAGAACGAGCAAAAAGCTGTAGGGATTGCTTTTTTCAAATAAATTTAAATGCTACCATAATTTTGTGGAATCTGGACTCATGCTGTCTTTCCATACACTTTTATCTAACACGTAGGTAATCTTCTTAATTTAGCAATATAACTTTTCAATTAAAATACTTTTAATGCAAGTTTTAATATCAGGAATTGATAATCTTAATAATTATATGCTTCGGAATTTTATATAAAAACGTATACAGCTCCCCATATAAGAATCGTTTACCTTAGCTACACGAAATCGTCGTACCATGAGTTTGAACTTAGTTCTAAGTAAATATTATGGATATCGTCTTTCTTATTGATATAATTATGTAAATTTTTACGGGCATACAAAATGTTTGAGTAAATGTTTTGTATACCCGTAATCTGTTGAATTATCAAAGTCATGGAACAAAAGTTGTTGTTTATGATGTTAGTAACACAGTCCTGCGAGGTTGTTAGTATTTTATAAATAACCTTGTAAATTTAGTTACTCTAACATATCTGCAGTGGTAGTTTGTAGATGATCAAACGAACTCGTTGAAGTGAAGTTCGATCACTATTATGTGAGTCGCTTCATTCGAAGATATAATATTTAACCAGGTAGAGTTTTAGAGTATTCAGTTTTGCTTCTAGTTGATTTTATGTAAATTAAAAACCAGAGGCTTAATTGATATTATAATTTTTATTAAAAATATATATAGATATGAACATATAACGGTTTTTCTCCTGAGATCACAATCATAGCAATTTTTAAATCGTACAATGATATAATAATTTTATAAATAAAGATTAGAAGAATAATAATATTAATTTAGAATGGTATAATTTGCCGTTTTATTAAGTTGTAAGCAAATGGTTCTTGCGAACGTGTGTTCGTCTTCAGTAAGTATTAGTCTATTATAAAATCTAGTAAAGGATGTGAGATGTCGGAGTCCAACTCGCAGCCTTGCGTATGAGCTCTATCGGCACCTCAGCCGCGCGCGCAGTACCGGGTGTTATGCGCGCCGAAAACTGTTGTGTCCACACCCGCCGCGCCGCATCTAACACCTGCCGTACACTTCGGCTCACGGTCTGACTCGTGGCTACTCTGTGGGGAGCTCTGTGTGTCAGCAAAAGCGTTCCCTGATGTCCAGTTGTCTTATTTTGTGTTACCAAAATATAATGTTTGAAAACTGCGACAAGGCAAATACTTGGATCCTCTCTAAAATATGGGGGAAATTTTAATGTGGCCTGTACGTGACCAGGCGCAAACGTTTTGATTAAATCAGGTATTGCAATTTTAATCGGAATATCTGATATTTGTATATTTTTCATTTTAATCAATGCCAGTTTGTACGCGGTGTACAAAGTGCAAGTACAATAATATGTTTTTTCGTAAGTTTTTCAAGAGGAAATTCTGTATTGGGAAACCACGTTGAAACTAATGCGAGAACGACTTGGGGATTCTAAGTATTGCTATACTTTGGTGCACTGGGTTTCAATCTAAATGCGCCCTTAAGTAATCTTTTTATGCGGGCGTCTGAGCCTGTTTCAGACTATAAAAGAGATAAAGTAGACTGTTATTATTACAAAATTCCCACCAGAGCTTCAGAGACACATTATATTGTCCAATTTTATTTTAAGAAAGAGAAGCTAAGGATAAAGTCATCGCAGTCGCAGTCGAAGTCCGCGGGAGGCGAAGGGCGCGCTGATAACGGCAGAAAGGGTAGGGCTGGTGTGCAGTCGATGAGGCCGCCTGCAATATTATATATTATGGCCATTAACGAGACTTGGTTGAGAGAAGGCGAAGACGGTCGAGCACCCTCGGTGCCTGGTTACCGGCTACGTCATATTCCTCGCCCTGCCGCCGTGCGTTCGCGCGGTGGTGGGGTCGGCTTCTACATACGACAGGGCATCGCGGTCCGTATATTGCCTCATCCGCCGGCTCCGCTCGTAGAACAAATGTGGCTGTGTTTGAATATTGCTGGCATGAAGCTACTGATAGGGACAGCGTACAGACCCCCGTGGCTAAATGTAGACACTTTTATAGACGCATTGGCTGAGAGTCTGGGCTGTTTCTCATGGTGCAACAAAGTAGTTCTGTTAGGAGATTTTAATGTTGATTTATTGCACCAATCACATATCGATACCAAAAAGATTACATATTTTCTAACGTGTCATACATTGAAACAATATGTGTCCGAACCCACTCATTTCACAGAGTATAGTGAAACTCTTATTGATACCATTAGTACCGACGTGGATAATACTGTGGTACGAGTCGAATACATACAAGCGCTGAGTCACCATGCTTTTATTACATGCCTCTTAAATGTTGTGAAGTCGAAGCCAGCATCAACAAAGATAATTCGCAGAAACTTGCAAGGTATTAACAGTAAACAATTTGAACTAGATCTTAATGCAATAGACTGGATGAGTATAAGCAATTTAGGTGATGTTGATCATATGGTGGGGCAATTCAATGAACGATTAGTGGCGTTGTTTGATATACATGCACCACTCCGAGTGTGGCATACTAAGCATCACCAGTATCCGTGGATTACATATAATGTAAAGCAGCTGATGAAGCGTAGAGATGAAGCCCATGTTGTAGCACGCAAAAACGGTAAAGATTCGCAAAATACTTACTATAAGGAACTCAAAAAAGCTGTAAATGATGTGTTGCATAGTGAAAAAAAAGCTTATTACGATCATTGTATTAATAATCAGAGAGATTCCCGGGTCTTATGGAAACATATTAAAAGAAATGTTAGGATAAATTGTAAACAAGAGCTTCCTGTAAATATTTATAATGAACCCAATTTAATAAATGATCATTTTTTGAATCTACCCGGTAATGCACAAGCCGCTTTAACAGACATGACATTTTTTGAACAAAACTGTAACGTTTCTGAAAATTTCGTACTGGAGAGAGTAGAAGAAATTGAGGTTCTCCAAACTATGCGTTCGTTGAAATCAAAGGCGGTTGGTCTTGATGGTATTTCGTCAGACATGTTGCTGTTGTCATTGCCCACCACATTATCCGTTGTAACAGCTATGGTAAACAGATCCATTGAAACGAGTACGTTTCCAGCGGACTGGCGGAATGCAGTAATACGGCCTATCCCGAAAATTAATAATCCAACCACCTTACAAGATATTCGACCAATAAACATACTGCCATGCATGTCAAAGGTTTTGGAAAAGATCGTGGTGAAACAATTGACAAACTTTTTAGAAAAGAATAAAATTCTTCCTACTACACAATCTGGTTTTAGGAAAAAGCATAGCACAGCAACTGCCATGGTCCACGTTGTTGATGATATCTTAACTGCTCAAGACAGTGGACAGGGGACCTTGTTGACACTGTTAGATTTTTCCAGAGCCTTTGACTGCATAAATGTCGACTTACTGTTATCAAAGCTTCATTATTACGGGTTTAGTGAGTCTACCGTTAAATGGTTTGACAGCTATCTAAAGAATCGATTTCAGTGCGTAGAACTGTCAAACCAGAGCGGATCAAAATTACTATCGGAGTCACGTGACGTCACACGAGGAGTGCCTCAAGGCTCAATTTTGGGTCCGATCCTTTTTATTATCTACAGTGCCGATGTAGTGCAACATATTAAACACTGTAGATATCATATTTATGCTGACGATATACAGGTTTACATTTCATGTAAACCATGTGATGTTCGTACAGCTGCGGATAAGTTAAACGAAGACTTAGAACGTGTAGCCCTTTGGGCTGAATCAAATGCGTTAGTACTAAATGGCAATAAATCCAAATACATGGTTTTCGGTACAAGAAACCAAATAGCAAAAATCGTAGATCACGGAGTTACTCTGGCCATTAGGGGTGAGGTCATTGCACGAGTAAGTGAGGCTCGTAACCTTGGTCTCGTTATGGACGAACATCTTCGCTTCGAAAATCATGTACTGGGAACGGTTCGAAATTGTTTTTATAGATTAAAGATATTGTATAACATTAGGAATTATCTAACAGTACAAACGCGTGTTAAATTATGTGACTCGTTGGTTTTATCTAAGTTTAACTATATGGACGTTGTTTACGGGCCGCGTCTACTAGCGCATACGCAGAAGCAAATTCAACGAGTGCAGAATGCATGTGCAAGGTTCTGCTTTAATGTACCACCACGCATGCACGTAACTCCTTATATTAACGAAGCAAATATTTTAAAGATGAGAGCGCGGAGAGATTTACATTTGGCAAGTTTGTTGTTTGGCGTTATCAAATACGAGGTTCCGCCTTATCTGGCTAAAAAGTTGGTATGGTCACGTGACGTAAAAACCTCCTTCACCAGAACGTTGAACTGGACGATGGTAGTACCACGCCACCATACCGCTGCATTCCGTGGCAGTTTCAAGTTCACCGCAGCGAAGATATGGAACGTCCTGTTGCCTCCGCCACTTCGTAGTCTGAAATCAGTGCACACTTTTAAAATCAATTATAGAAAATATCTCTTGGATAACCAAAAAAGAACAGTGTGATTTCACTTGTGCACTTACCGCGCTGGTTTCGACTCATAGCATTGGTGTACGGCGGCCGATATCTTCATTGTTATCGCTGCGGTTTTCGTGATAGGGCAGTTGAGGCATGCTCCTTGAAATTTATTCAATGATTATTAATTATTTTATTTTTATTTTTTATTTTTTTAATATAATCCAATCTCATTAATCTGATATTTTGATTATTTGTTAATTTAATGATCATGTTCCATCATTTATGTTTGTATTTATAATATAAATTTATTATGAGCTCGATATTATACAATACTTACAAAATACTTTAGAAATATACAATACGTTAGAAATACACTAGTAATAGCTCTAATCGTAATAATACGTACCGTTATGGTGTAGGACACTGCGTGTTTCATTCTGTAAACAAAACAACGGAGCGAACTGCGTTGTGCTGGCTGTCGAATAGCGTCCCCTCCCCCTTACTTCTCCCCGCGCACCTTTCGTCACAATCCGACTCGGACGAGGATCGAGAATAATTTTATTTGTTAGATAATTACGTTACCACACTATAAACACACACAGAGGGTATATTCATATTTTATATATATATTTTTGTTATATTTATGTAGATTTAATATAATATAACACACACAGCAGTAACACAATGCACAAAATACACTTACATAGACAAATATTTAAGTAGGTACTTTATTTTATTTTGCGACACACACGTCCGTCACTCATCTCGGATCAGGGCTCATTGAAAACCAGCGCCACAGTCAATTCTGGCTGTGGTAAAAGCTGAATGTAGTCCTTTTGCGTACGCCACGACTGCACAAATGACTGAACAATTTGTTGTTATTTTGCTTTTGTTTTTTTTTCTTTTTTTTCCTTTTTTGTTTGTTTTGATAATTTTAATGTTTTCTTTTTTCATTTGTTTGTTTTACGTATGTCTATTTTGTTTATTAATTATTATTACTGTTATTATTTTTAATTTTAATGTTCATCGTACTGGGTTATAATTCATTTTTTTTTGTATCATGTGTTGTGGCGTCACAATAAATGTCTATTCTATTCTATTCTATTCTATTCTATTCAATAAGATTTAATGATGATTGGCTTGATTTAAAATATATTACGTCGGAAACCGACAGGCTTTGCAGCAGGAGGAACCATACCTGGGAGGGCCAATATGGAAAACCAAGAGTAGGTACTCTTTTGCTTGGTCATCAATAATTTTGCGTATGCATTTCAATAATAAAAAGAAGGGTGGGAAAGTAGAAAAAAAATTTGAATTCCGATTCAGTGTAAAGGCATCTACGGCAAATGCATCTAGCTCCTGAAACCGAGAGACAAAAATAGCGGATGTGGCATTGGTGCGGGATGCAAAAAGATCAATCTCGGGTTGTCCGAAATGTCTGTCAATGGTCTGGAAGGCGCGAGAGGACAACTCCCACTCGGTGTCGGGATTAGTCTTCCTAGATTCTATATCGGTGCGATTATCTTTTGTATTTACATAATATGCACATGTGCATTCAAAATTATGTTGCGCTTTTCGCACCATTGCCAAATTGGTTTACTTAAATCGCTAAGGTGGGGGTATTGGATCCCGCCCTTGCGGTTTATGTAACTGATCACCGTAGTATTGCGTACTCGCAACAATATAACACAATCAGATTATACTAATATAATATAAAAATACTGCAATTCTTAGTAATTGATATGGTGTTTCTTCTCAACAGCCTTCCGTTGGTCTCCTGTGCTAGTCGCGCCACATACGGAATCCCAACCGGTGCGCAGTGTATCGGTATAAATTCTAATTTAAAACTTGAGGTTTTCATATACGATGAAGTCGAGTAAATATTGTCTGTCCACCAACTCACTCAATTAGAATTATATCTGGAAGATAAATTGTTGTTTCATAGTTACCGTCATGTTTTTGAAGACTTAGAAATTTCTGAATTTCCAGTAATTTTGTATATAACCGTATTTAGAGGCTGGGCAAGCTGAGATGAGGACACCAATCTATTGAGCGTACTCCCGTATGGTACATCGGGGTAACCTCATTATTTTTTAAATAAGTAGTATAGTGAAACGGGTGAGGGTCTTAGTACCCTTGGGAGATCAGAACGACACCTCTTAAACCTTCAAGCGACAAAAAACAACACACATCCGTCCGTCATCTTCCGTCCGTCATCCTATACGCGAACGTCATATGTCCGCGCTCGCTATAGTGACGGCCAGTCGTAGGGTCGTACCAAGGAGGCGCGTTACACACTCCCCCTCCGATCCTCCTGGTCGACCCGACGGAGGATCGGTCAGTCTCGCGTCCGACCAGGCCTCTTACGCGGCCGGCCGTGGCGTTGTCGCGGTTGGATTGGTCTTGGGACTTGTTCATCCTCGGTTGTGACGTGACGGAACGGGGCTAGATCAGACACGTGAAATTTGCCAAGCTCCTGCCCAGAATCACAATCAGTAATCTCGTAGGAAGTTGGGCTAACTTTGCTAGAGATCATGTAAGGTCCATCCCGCTTTGGCATAAATTTCCTTGTTTTTGCCTTTGGAAGAATCACTTAGTTGGCTAGTTGTCACCAACACTAGGCCACCGAGTTGGTACTCAGGAGCGGAACGGCGGTTCTTATCAGCATCTTCTTTTCTAGAATCTTGCTGTTGTTCTACCCTCTCCTTGACTTCTTTCAAATTTTTAAAGAATCGCCGCAAATATGGCGTGACCTGGGGCAAAAAATTCTCCTTCTCGAGGACGGCCCGTAGATCGTGATGTGCATCGTACGGAGTACGCATCTCCCTTGCAAACATTAAATACGCGGGAGTACAAACCGTGGTGCATGTTTTCCCTGAATTCAGCGCGAATCTAACCTGCGGTAGAAACACAGGCCAAGATCGATGTTCATTCTTGACAAGGATTGAGAGCAATACCTTTAAATCGCGATTCTTGCGTTCTGCTAGGTTTGCTTCAGGGTGATACAGCGGTAGAAGCTTTTGCTTAACGCCGAGTAGAAGCATGCACTGTTGCATGGTTGCAGCTATGAACTGGACACCATTATCTGAAATGATCCTGCGAGGAAATCCGTATCTCAGGAAATACTCGTTTATGAGAACAGGCGCGCAGACTTCGGCGGTGGCGTCCTTTAGCGGAAACAGGTCCACCCATCTGGTTGCAGTGTCTTCAACAAGAAGCACCCATTTCTCACCATTTGAACCCTCAGGTAAAGGCCCAAATAA